TCACTGTTAACAGTGAACACCAGAGGGCGCAATTAACAGCTTTCTTTGAGGCACCAAAATAAAGCACTGAAATTAGAGTTGTGTTTCGGTTTGGGTACTACCGTTGATCTTCGTACCGGTGCCATACTGGAACCGTGTTTCGGTACCCAACCCTAGTCTGAACTGCCTTTACAACAACTCGAGGCACCAGTTTTTCAATTGTAGCAGCTACATTAGTCGTGTTTTCAGGCAACTTTAATTCGAATTTTTAGCTAATTTTTTTAAATTTCAGAACTTATTCAGCAAATGTGTTTCCATCTCTCATTTTGCACATTAACTCTTCTGAAAAACCCAAAAACCACCTCCACCAACCTCCCAAAACACACTCACTGGAACCGGACTTAAATGTCAATGGAAAAGCACCCGAACTGACTGTACCGACACTACACTAAGTGGCACTAGTGGAAAAGGGGCATAYGATGCATGCTCTTTTATGTGTCATTAATGATTTTCCACTTCTCATATTAATCTGTAACTATTGGACAGACTAAAGGACACACCTGTACACAACARGAGCAGCATCTCATCAAATACAAACTCTGGTAAACAGAAACATGTRAAAGCACTCCTGTCTTTGAGCAGGCGTTAGGACAGACTGATGGTACCTGTGATGTCTCGCTCTGACACTGCCAGGCCAGCGTCTGTCTCAGAGTCCTTGCAGCAGTCCTGCAGCGTGCCAAAGGGTCCATCCCTGCGGGACCCCTGGCTGTCCCCACCTGTCTTCCCCGACTCCTCTTCTTGAGAGTGATAAAACACGGAGCTGGCTGACTCAACAGAGCGCATCATGCTGTAACGCCGCCTCTTATCCTGTGGAGAGKGGGTGACTCATCCTGATGAGAGCTTTAGCTTTTTTCATCAAACAACTGTTGAGGTTTTTATTAAACACATYATTTGAAGTGGACCTTTTCATTATTTCACACAGGATTTACCTTAAACAGCTATTTGAGGCACCAGAGATTTGAATCAACAAATAAACAGAAAATGCAGGTTTTCAAAAACACAGAGGTGTGTGGTTAATTTATCACAATCTAACAGGTGTCTCACAGATTTGGGGTTGTCGTGGTAACGGGTAGTGTCACAAACCACACTGTAGCCAATGAGACTGTCCCCCGGAAAGAGGAAGGTGTTGCCAACTGGAGACAGCAGCACCTCTTTGGTTTCAGGAAAGAGCCACTCGATGAAAATGTCACTGAGAACCGGAGACATGGTTTTCTTCAGTGACTTTATCATCTGTGGAGTACAAACAGAAACAAACATGTTCTGTGACCACTTTAAATAGAAAGAGACTGTTTCAGATATGATTTCCAAASTAGTAACAGAGGTCGTCACTCTGGGATTTGAAACCACTGAATAATGGCTCTTTAGTGGCCCTCAGAAAACCCAGCTGTCATTATGCATGACACTCCAACCTGAAAATGAGTACCTTGGGCTGCAGCCTCTCYCCGTCAGCCAGAAACTCTGCTGCTCCTTTGGAAACTGTGGCCAGCCCCTGCACAAGCCTCCTGCAGGCATTCTGTCCAATTCCAAATGGAAAACATCTGTACAGACACACCAGTAAAACATCTGTATAGATGCTTCAAACAGTGTAAAACATCTGTTTAGATACATCAAACACTGTGAAACATCTGTATAGATACATCAAACACTGTGAAAGATCTGTATAGATACATCAAACACTGTGAAACATCTGTTTAGACACATCAAACACTGTGAAACATCTGTTTAGATATATCAAACACTGTGAAAGATCTGTTTAGATACATCAAACACTGTGAAACATCTGTTTAGACACATCATACACTGAAACATCTGTTTAGACACATCATACACTGAAACATCTGTTTAGACACATCAAACACTGTGAAACATCTGTTTAGATACATCAAACACTGTAAAACATCTGTTTAGATACATCAAACACTGTGAAACATCTGTTTAGATATATCAAATACTGTGAAACATCTGTTTAGATACATCAAACACTGTAAAACATCTGTATAGATCTATCAAACACTGTAAAACATCTGTTTAGATACATCAAACACTGTAAAACATCTGTTTAGATACATCAAACACTGTAAAACATCTGTTTAGATACATCAAACACTGTAAAACATCTGTTTAGATACATCAAACACTGAAACGTCTGTTTAGATACATCAAACACTGTAAAACATCTGTATAGATACATCAAACACTGTGAAACGTCTGTTTAGACACATCAAACACTGTAAAACATCTGTATTTATACATCAAACACTGTGAAACGTCGGTTTAGATACATCAAACACTGTAAAACATCTTTATAGATACATCAAACACTGTGAAACGTCTGTTTAGATACATCAAACACTGTAAAACATCTGTATAGATACATCAAACACTGTGAAACGTCAGTTTAGATACATCAAACACTGTAAAACATCTGTTTAGATACATCAAACACTGTGAAACATCTGTTTAGACAACACTGTAAACATCTGTTTAGATACAAACAATGTAAAACATCTGCACAGACACATCAAACACTGCAGAACATCTGTATGGACACAATGTAAAACATATGTATAAACACATCAAACACAGTAAAACATCTGTATAGACACAATGTAAATCAACTGTATAGATGCTTTAGACAATGTAAAACATCTGTATTGACACAAACACCGCAAAACATCTATATAGACACTTCAAACACTGCAAAACATCTCAAACACTATAAAACATCTGCGTAGATATTTGAAACACAGTAAAGACACATCAAACAATGTAAAACATCTGTAAACATGCTTCAAACACTGTTACATATCTGTAAAGACACATCAAATACCGTAAAACTTCTGTATAGATGCTTCACACAATGTAAAACATTTGTACAGGTACATCAAACASTGTAAAGACACATCACTGTAAAACGTCTGTATAAACACATCAAACACGGTAAAACATCTGCATAGACACAAACATTGTAAATAATCTGTATAGACGACAAGACAGATTATTTAAAACATACAATGTAAAACATCTGTATAGACACTTCAAGCACTGTACAACATCTGTATACAGTAGATACATCAAATACTAAAGACACATCAAACAATGTAAAACATCTGTATAAACACATCAAACAATGTAAAACATCTGTATAAACACATCAAACACTGTAAAACATCTGTATAAACACATCAAACACTGTAAAACATCTGTATAAACACATCAAACAC